CAGCAGCTGGCTGACTTTATGAAGAAAGAGGGACTCTTTATGATGAACTCTTTCTTCCAGAAGCGGCCCCACAGGAAGTGGACCTGGTCGAGCCCCGACGGTTCGACAAAAAATGAGATTGACTTCATTATGACTACCAGACGCCAACTGTTCAGTGATGTCTCAGTGATCGCAAGGGTGAAAACCGGCAGCGATCACCGAATGGTTAGAGGCCCACTGAACCTAAACGTTAAGTTGGAGAGGTCTCGTCTAATGAAGTCAACGCTCCGTCCCCCCTCGTGCTCAATAGAACCCGAGCTTTTGAGTTCGAGTTACGTAACCGCTTTCAGTGCCTAGAAGATTGCAATGCAGTGGACGATATGAATGACAAGCTCGTGGAAACTGTCCATGCGGTCGGAGCTAAGTTCTGCAAGACCCGCCGCAGAAGAACACAAAAACTCTCCGATGAACACTCTTAATCTCATGGCTGTTAGACGGGAGATGAGGCTGCGATCGTCAACAGATTTGACAGCATACAGGCAACTGAACAGACAGATCTCCAAATGCATGCGGCGAGACTTACGCAACTTTAATACTGCTCGTATTAAAGAAGCGATCGAGCGGAACCAGGACGCCAAAGTCTTTGCCAGAGATCTGTCTACCAGAAAGAGCCAACTGTCAAAGCTGCACTGCAGCAAAGACTGAGTGTGGCAGCATCGTTTCCGAGACACCTGAGATTTTGAGTGAGATTGAGAGGTTCTATGGGCAACTGTACACATCATCGTTGGAGCCACACGCAAGTGTGAGTAACGATCCAAGAGCAAGTCTTACCCGACACTATTCCGATGATATCCCGGACGTCAGTCTGAGCGAGATTAGAATGGCTCTCCAGCACCTTACAAACGGCAGGGCCCCAGGCGAGGATGGAATTACAGCGGAGCTTCTGAAACGCCCGGTACTTGAAGTCCTTCAGAAGCTCTTCAATTCCGTCCTCCATGGTGGCACTACTCCGGAGGCGTGGAGCAGATGTACGGTGGTCTTGTTCTTTAAGAAAGGCGACAACGCTCTCTTGAAGAACTACAGACCGATTTCCCTTCTGAGCCGCGTCTACGTGCTGTTTTCGAGAGTCATTACGAATAGTCTCGCACGCAGACTCGACGAGTTCCAGCCACCCGAACAAGCCGGTTTCCGAAAAGACTTCAGTACCATAGACCACATACATACCCTGCGGCAGATTGTACAGAAGACCGAAGAGTACAATCTGCCACTTTACCTGGCGTATGTGGACTACGAGAAAGCCATAATAAGTCAAGATAGTCTAGGAAACGTTCAAAAAATAAAAAAACTCTAGAGAAATTCCACGTTGTTGTTGAAAAGTGTTTTAACTGTCTGTGCAGCGTTTAATGTGACTTCGCTTCGTACCTTTAAGACATTTAACGTTACTAGTAATTATTATTAAATTAACTGCACTCACAAAATCTTCTCGGTGTATTAACAAGCAAAGCCTCCAAAAAAGATTACCACAAAATATCTGAGCGTAACTTTCAGTTTAATTCGATTAATGTCCACAATTACAAATACGACAAATTATTTTTGCCATATCCAGCGGTAATCCTACAGTGACATATTGAGGTAATTCCATTAATTCATAAATCAGCGATCCTTAACGAAATGGCCTTCGCGACTCCAAAGCCATCGTTAAGAACTTTTTATGTGTACAGGTATAAGGTTTACATTTCTTTATAATAGTGAAGTGTAAAACGAACTTACCAGTCCACCTAATGGTAAGTGGCTATTGTGACCCATGAACACAACCAACTTTAAACAACGAAAACTACACATGTTTGGACTAAGACGAGCACATGCATAGCTTCTAGTATACCAGCTTCGACCGGAACACAGCAGCGCAAGCTCTATTCGGCTGCAGAAATAGATGAGAGAGTGGTGATAATAGATGAAAGAGACGTGCACCATAAAAGTAAAGGTGTTCTACCATCTAGCAATTTTAAATCCCATAGCTATTTGACCGACATCTAAAAGAAAATATTTCTCATGCTATCAACTATGCGTGTGCGGAAGTTCTAAACTTGTACTCGCATCGTTATATAGGCTGCGCGATTATTACGATTACGCTACGAATCATATGCGAACGCTTTCGACAAATGAGCACGCAGACCATATCACCACCAACTCGCCATTATGGTCTGTGTACTGTGGCTTATAGACTCCTACATATATCCCCGATTAAGTGAGATAAAGAAGGACTTATATGAGATTCCTCGTTACCAGTAAAAAGGATCTTCGATTATCATTCCCTACCCTACGAAACATAGGAGCATTATGCTGCTATTGAATGAAACTAATTTTACTGATTTTATCTCGTTTAATTTTAACTCATTTGTACTAACTTCTCATATACCGTAAGCTTGTTCTAAGTAGATCTTGTAGTACCTTACTGCTCCGATACTGTAAGCTCGTTCTGGATAAATTGGACCAAAAATAATATTTGAAAGCTAAAGGTAGCTCGGGTGAACACATCAGAACGTCAATCACCTCTCCCCCTGTCCGTTCACCCATGATGATTAAAACCTTGCTGTTAAAACCTATCAAAAGTTCTCTTCTCTGTTCAACATAGGTCTTCACCATAGATTGCCCCATGGGTGCTAAACAGTACCCGAAACGTGAGTTAAAAACAAGTTAATTTAAACGTGATGTAATCCTTATACGTAGCTCAGATGGTCAGCGCTCACTGTAAAGTCAACATTATGCGAGCAACCCGGGTTCGATCCCCGCCGGCACCAATTAAATTGTTAATTTTGCAATTTTAAGTGCTGCTCGGCGGTTACGGAAAACATCGCGTTCCTTGCAATGTTTCCCTTCACCCTACCACGCATGTCTGAGAAATTAAAAAAAATATTTCAAAGACATGTGAAGTTCGCCAAGAACTTTCTTGCCCTAATACCCTCTCAGAAATGAGAGTATACCCAGCAGAGTGGGACGTATATAGGCTGTAACTTTAACTTTTTTTAACTTAAAACTTTAAAATACATACGTGATGAAGTTTTTAATATCACTGTTTCATCGTGACCTTGGGCTTCTAATATTCACCGGCTACTTTGCGGAAATCCTTTATAGTAAATATGATAAAATTGCTACAACTAAACTAACAAAGACCGCCACTGTCTATAATACAAAATGTATTTAGTGAGAAATAGATTTTGCGAAGGTTACCGCTCGATTAATAGAAGTATAGTGGTGTTGATGGTATTGGTGTTGGGATTAGTGAAAAAGGTGCTAATGCACACAATTCAGGGAGGATAGAATGCTCTTCAAACAACGTAAGACACGACGTTTTTATTTTTAACGTTGATCTATCTAATTAATTTTAACATAGACCTTTAACTTGTGATACTTCTTACTCTAAAGGGTCATAAAATTAAACTTTTAATAAAAAGTTAATGTCGAATTTTTTTAAAAAGAATCAAATAATTTCCATATCGGGGCTTTAAATCTTAATACTGCCGAAAGAAGGCGGTATAAATTTAACAAACGTGTAAAATACTGAAGGTAGCAATAAGGAACAGCGTTAAGGGCTCAAGACTTCAGGAACAGCGTTAGCCTATCCAGGTGGATTAAGTGGGTGATTATAGCAATATCACCATCATCATCCGCAGTCAGTAAAAGTAAATTGCTGAGCATGGGCCTATTCCATTGCAGAAAGGCTTTGCCTTATTCGTCATGCTTAGCAGGCGTGATACTGCACCCCACGTTTCGCACATTTAACGCTGCTGTACGTCGCCGGTCTAACTATTTTACGTCTGAAGGAAACGAGATGGCTACACTGCCATCTATCGAAATCTACCTCCAAGAAGAGAAGATACAGAAAATAGGTAGTTAGTTATACGACAACCTTTACGATGACTTAAAATTTTCTGACATTTTCTATAGTGGTCTCTTACGGCACCTGTGAACGTAAGACTAATTACATGTAACACATGTATTAGCGTTACGTTTACTAACTGGCCAGTATACCAGCGTAAAATAGCAGCTTAATACTGCTGTGTTTCGTATTGTGAGTGTAGAGATCCGGAGACCCTTTTATACTGGAAACGAGGCATTCGCAGAGGAGCAAGTAAGAAGGACGATAACTAAGCGAAATCGATCTATTTTACGATTTGAAGGAAAAGGAATCGAAGACAATTATTTATCCCATAAGATGCCTTGACACAGTTGCAATCAAATGGTGCGGGCTAAACTGCTAAACTAATACCAGCGTAAAATAGCAGGTTAATACTGCTGTGTTTCGTAAGGTCAGTGTAGATATCCGGAGGCCCTTTTTATTGGAAATGAGGCATTCCATCTTAGTCCTCAGGGGTAACAACGCATCTGCGTTTTGATTCTTAATCGAGGATAAATGTAGATGTCTATGGGCAACAGCATCCACTTACAATCAGGTGGACTGTATGCTCGTTTATTTTCCCGAAAGGTAAATAGAGGAATTTTGTAATATACGGAGCGTTATAGAAAAATAAAGTTCCTTAATTATTTATTAATTAAGTAACGTTTTAAGAGTTAAAAACTGACAAGCAAGAAATTTATGTACTTGTTATTGAAACTAGACACTACAGATAGTGACTTATAATTTCGAAAGTATTTTTTAATAATTATGATCTGTAAAATGGAAGCCCCAATTCCCGTGACTGATGTGAGTAAAAAGTTGATAGTAATTGCAAAGTCAAAAACATTTTTTTCGTGAGAAGGTTAACAACTCTTTCTATATTATTAGGGTCTCCTGCAGTATAATAACTATGATGTTGCTTCATTATTAAGTATTTTAATTAATATTTTATATAACTATTAGATATCATTATAAATTTAAATGTAATCGGTGAAATAACGTTTTGTTATTCCTTTAATTTTACATTATATTAATAAGGGTATATTAGACTGTAATACGGGAATATTTGGAGTATGGATCCCTTATTCTTTGCATTTTTTGTTTAATTGAAACTGAAACTTACTTTTCGACAGATGGTGCCTCCGAAAATATTTCCTCACTTAACACACACATCAAATTCATTTGCAAAAAGAGTACACTGCGTTCTGCACATCATTTTATTTTACAAAATGCAAACAAGATAAAAAAAGAAAAAAAATGTCAACGTTCTTTCGAAATGGCGCGAAAGTTTGCGGTAAACCGACAGTTTTTTCATACACAAGTTCTGTTATCTTTGAAAAATATGCCAAATATTTTACTAAATTAAAATTGTATTATAAACAATGTAAATTTATATAAAATTTTTGAATTTTAAAAAGTATGTCATGCCAATGCGGGCTGTCAAACCGGGCGCGTTGATTACGCAAGGCGTGTTTGCGGAGCCAGCTATCTGTAGAAACTGAAAGTGGTTCCAGACGTCTCGTATCGTACCCCTCTCTGATGCCATCGACGCTAGTTAGGTAATGAAATGGTAAGTGGTTACCATTAATCCCATTTTCATAACGACTATGCGCATCCATCACCATTGTTGTAATTGTTTTGTCGGTGTCTACGTTCTTCTTATTAAGTTCCTCGTGCAATAATATCGGAAGTAAGTTGTTCCGTCGCTATTACAATTATGTTTTGTAATACCATTGAATGGATATAAATATATATAGAAATTTATGTATAAGTATGAGCAGTAAAACTAAAATAAAGATGTTCATCAGTTTGGACCAAGCGCAATAACTTCCTAATAGTAAATAAAAAGTCTACAAAAGATTTAATGATAAAACATCTTTCCGTAACTGTGCGGATTTCAGTCAATTATACCACCTAACACTAATAAATATAATCTCAGCTTATAATATGGCTTGTTGAAAACGTCCTACAGCTAACTAGATGCTCGAGCAATTGCGAAGGACGATAACTAAGCGAAATCAATCAATTTTACGATTTGAAGGAATACGAATCGAAGACAATTATTTATCCCATAAGATGCCTTTAGACAGTTGCAATCAAATGGTGCGGGCTCAACTGCTAAACTAATACCATATAATGTAATTCATAAGCATAGACTAATGAGTGTCATAACAGACTGGGTTCGCACTCCAGACACATCACGAAAATTGTTTCACTCAAAGTTATTTTTTTTAATAAAATTCTAGTGTGTTAGTGCTGTCTACATGCTCAAGAACAAATATCCATACTAGCAAAAATTAATATTTGTAGGCCATACAAATTCCCGTTCCGTACAGGTTTCGAACCTGCGGCCCTCAACGCCGTAACACACTGCAATGCCACAGAGCTTTCGGAGCCATTACGAGTAAACTAATGGTATTAGGATATAAATGGAAACAAATAATAACTACGACACTTTTGTTACAATTATTTTAATATTCTGCTTCTCTTTTAAAGTGGCTTTAGAAAATGACCAAAAAGAGCATATGAGCGGAGTTTCTTTCGCCGTTCCCTCTCCGGACAAAGAAAACTCATTTTGAAATGGTATTCCGGTTAATTTCTTACGTTATTTTCACTTCATTTTATTTCATTAACTATCTTTGCGGGTCAGTGATCGTCCAGTAATCGGCCCATGTGGAGCAAAATTGTGTACTTACAATAGATTGATCTTGAAACCGGTTTTCCACAAGACGCTTCTTAAGGGGATGGAGTAAGTCAGCTCAAATTTTAATTTCATCCCCACTTGCCCGCGCGTCGATGCTATGTACCGACATGTTTGTAATCACTAATACTGTAAGTAGAAAGGTCGTTACTTATTTCATTAGGTTTATCATATTTATGCCTGTTTCTTAACGCCAAGCCAGTCGCTTCTTATTTTTATTACGGTTATTTCCCATTTTAATTTTACGTCGTCCTGTTGCGTAATGTCTCCCCATTCAAAGGCCGAAGCGAAGTGACCGTGCGGCAGGAATCACGCTTCAAAAGGCCGATAGTTTAGGTAATTTCTTTTTTACAGTGAAAATAATGGTATTTTAAAAAAAGTAAATAACATAAGCACTGCTTTATAGTTAGTTCAGTTAGTATGCAAAGTTTCATGATCTTATTTAAAGTATTTTATGAATAACAACGGTTTATTGTTTATTTTGAAGGTAACTTTGGATTTTTTTTCTATCGAGAAAATTTTACGAAATCGTGTTTTCGTCTAACATAATCCTTAACATTAATCCTCAACTTTACTATTTATTTATTTTAAAATTAATGCTGCAATATTTTCGGCATAACGAAGGATCTTGCTAAGTCATTTGAGATTATATTTCCCCTTATTATCCTCAGTTTATAAAATCCTGCAATATTAATTTTTTGTACCATTTGTATACAGACGATCTTTAATTTATATTATCTTTATAATCCCCGTATAGTGGCGGATAAGAATATCCACTACCCCATATATTCCCGTGGGTGTCGTAAAAGGCGACAGAGGGAAACTGGAGTAGAAAATTGGGCAGCAGCATCTTTTTGATAACAGCAAATAACAATGAAAAACTTCGTTTGCAACCCACTCGCCAAGCTTGGCAACTATGGCAAACATCTCCCCATGAGCAACGATAAAAATAAACGGCCGCTATTCCTGGCTACGGTAGCGACCATGGCAACAGCGGAAGACGACTGGACCTGGCAACTCATAAGGCACCCACTATGAGTACTGTCGAGAAGTGAGCTGAAAGAAGAGATAGACAAGTTACACTGGGATATTATAGGATCATCTGAGTCCGGGAGGACACGGTAATCCTCGAATCCGGCAACTTGTTCCATTACCGAGAGGGTGACCATGTGTCGTCCCAAGGAGCTGTCGGATTCATCATCCACAAGTCTCTCGTTAACAACGCTGTAAAGACTGGGAGTGTGTCGACGAAGGTTGCGTACCTTATGCTCACAATCACCAAACTTGAAGGTCATACATGATTACGCACCAACCTCGGCATACCCAATGAGAAGATGGAGGAAATGTATGAAGATATCTCTAGAGCCATGCATTCCTCCAAAACTCACTATACAGTGTTAATGGGTGACTTCAACGCAAAACTAAGCACAAGAGTAAACGGTGAGCTGAAGGTAGAGAAATTCGGAATAGGGCAACTTCATGGAGTAAGAAGACCTCTTTATGATGAACTCTTTCTTCCAGAAGCGGATCCAGAGAAAGTGGAACTGTGGACTTCATTAGGACGAACAGACAGCAACTGCTCAGTGATGTCTCAGTGATCGCGAGGGTGAAAACTGGCAGCGATCATTGAATAGTGATAAACACACTGAACGTGGAGTTGGGGAGGTCACGTCTAATGAAATCAACGCGCCGCTCTCCTCGTGCTTTAATCTAAAGCCCCGAAAACTTTCGGCTCAGTTACAAAAAATTTTTCAGTGTCTAGAAGACTGCATGCAGGGGACGATTTAAATGAAAAGTTCATGGAAACTGTCCATGCGGTCGGAGCTAAGTTTTTTTTATAGTATAGGGTGACAAACTAGCACACACCTGATGGTAATTGATTGCTGCGGCCCATAGACATCGACATCTATCCTCGATTACAAATCAAAATGCAGGTGCGTTGTCACCCGTGAGGACTAAGATGGAATGCCTCGTTTCCAGTAAAAAAGGTCTCCGGTTCTCTACACTCACCATACGAAACACAGCATCATTAAGCTACTATTTTACGCTGGTATTCTGTTAGAGCGTGGTCTTTGGTCAGTCTTCAGCAGATTTGACAGCATACAGGGAACTGAACAGGTAGATCTCCAAATGCATGCAGCGGGACTTATGCAACTTCAATACAGCCTGTATTGAAAAAGCGATCAAACGGAACCAGGGCTCCAAAATGTTTGCCAGAGATCTCTCTAATAAAAAATAAAAATATAAATTTCTTCGCAACCTTCCGCTAAATAAATACAATGATTTGTCTTACCTGGATTGAAGAGCACCTCCCGCCCTCCCCCAATTGCATGCACTAACTCCGTCACCACTAGTCCCAGCACCACTGAACCCACCAGAACCCACCACTATTCCAGGTAAGACACACCAGACTGGTGTGTCTTACCTGGAATAGTGGTGTTGGGACCACCAGAACCTACCACTATTCCAGGTAATTCACACCAGATGGTATGTTTTACCTGGAATAGTGGTGTTGGGAGTAGTGGTGCTGGGACTAGTAGTGACGGAGTTAGTGCATGCAATTGAGGGAGGGCGGGAGGTGCTCTTCAATCCAGGTAAGACACATCATTGTATTTATTTAGCGGAAGGTTGCGAAGAAATTTATATTTTTATTTTTTATAATAATGGATTTCCGCAAAATGACACCTGATTCTATCAATTAGAGATCTCTCTGCCAAAAAGAGCCAACTGTCGAAGCTAAAGACCGATTATGGCAGCATCATTTCCGGGACACCTGAGATGAATGAGCTTGGGGGGTTCTATGGGCAGCTATACACATACAGACTTAAACAGATTAAAACTTCTTTTTAAACTGTCCGGTGTCAGGATTGTTGAAAAAAATTTCAATATGAAATACGCAGTTTCTTTGTACAGGGCTATTTTCTTTTCATTTTGTAACAGTACTTTGTACCGTATTCATAAATTGTTAAATAAAAAAGTAAACCGATGACGATTACTATTTAAGTGCTATGTATGTTATGTATGTTAAGTGGGATTACTTCACTATTTACCTGTAAAAATATTGCGGGCTAAACGCTAAAGAATACCAGTATCTGTGTACGCAAGATATATACAATTACTACCTAAATACGTCGCATTACTGAACATATATCTACGGCTCCTATCTCAAAAATTAATCGCTCGCCATTTATGTCATTTGTAGGCAAGAAACCCGAGTAAGGTCCTCAATGGCACCTTTTTTGCAACTTAAAGTGCTAATTTACCATGTGTTCTGTGATGAAGGAAAACATCGTGAGGAAACTATCTAATCTAGCTATCTAACCAAGGACCCCGGTGCAAAAATTTTATTAGGGCCGTTTTTTCATACAAAAGCGATATCACTTATAGTTTCCGTGCACTCTACCACAAAATCCTTTAGTTTAGTTTCCTCAAAAATTTCCCACTTTACATATATACATTCAATTACTACGGTAATGAATAG